TATGTGCTATCCAAGGCAGTTAATATTTTACTATTATGTATTTTTTAGCTAATAATTACTACTACCACACACACACACACACACACACACACACACACACACACACACCCCATACTGATAAATCCAAAACTCTTCTTCCCTAATGCTTAATTCCATGAAATTCTCAGGAGCCTTTCTTCTAATCAGTTACTCTACTCTGTCCTTGAAAGATTGTGAACCAGGTTTATTATAGTAAGATTTCCAACAAAATGTTAATGTTTCTGTAAGCCAGTAATTTTCAAGGTGTGCTCCTCAGAGTCAGAAAGGTCTGTAAGATATTTTGGGGGTTGCAGTGGGGCATAAGAGGGTGGCAGAGAGGAGGCACCCCTGAGGACTTCCACTTTTTCATAAAAGAACTGTTCTATGCTGAAGAGCAACACTAAAAACCTTTTCTATGTTTATGAGTTCAGTGGAGAGATAGCATGACTTCTGACCTCTTGCTTCAGGGGCTTCATATATAATTTTCGCTAAAAGAATCTCTGCTATCTGCCTTTGACCATAACAGTGGTACCTATTTAGAAAGAAGATTGCCACAGAGTCCTGGAAGATGGAGTTTTAGAGCTGGAAGGCTGCCCCAAGATTTTCTGTTTCAGTGTTCTTATTTTACAGGAGATGGACCCAAGAATAAATTACTTGCTCAGAGTCTCATAGATTAAATAAATCAACATTTATTCATTCAAAAATTTACTGATTAAATACCACATGTCAGACATTGGCTCTATACTGAGAATCGATAGAGTGTTAATTAAGATGGACACACTCAGTGCTCCATGGAGCTCACCCTCTAAAGAGAGAGACAGACAATAAAATATGTACAAAACAAATGTCAAAGTTTCAGGTGCTTTGACAAAAGTTCTGTGAGGGAGATACAGCATGGCAAGGAGAGAGATAGCTGAAAAAGATGGTTAGGTTGCTATGGGAAGTGCATTCTATAAGATAGCACAAGAACACCTGTATGAGACGATGATTTTTTATCAATTATTGGAAAGAGTGAGGAGATGATGCTAGGCAAGAAATTCTAAGCACAGTGATTTGCCTGAGGCAGGACCAATTTTAATTTGTTCAAGAAACAAGGTAGCTGGTGTGGCAACAATACAGTAAGCCACGGGGAGTATTATAGGAAGGGATATAATGACGTATGGGAGGGCACATCGGGAGGTTCTGCAGAACAAGATAAATAAGTAAGAAAGCCATTGGCGTTTGTTCCCCTAGGGATGTGAAGTAAGCTGACTTGTCGTTTTCAGAAGATTAGCCTTTGAGTAGTGGTTTGTAGTTCTCCTTGAAGAGGTCCTTTATCTTTTTTGTTAGTTGTACTCCTAGGTATTTTATTCTCCTTGTAGCAATTGCGAATGGGAGTTTGCTCTTGATTTGGCTCTCTGTTTGTCTGTTATTGGTGTATAGGAATGCTTGTGATTTCTGCACATTGATTTTGTATCCTGAGACTTTGCTGAAGTTACTTATCAGTTTATGGAGATTTTGGGCTGAGACAATTGTTACTTCTAAAGATACAATCATGTCGCCTGCAAATAGAGACAATTTGACTTCCTCCGTTCCTAACTGAATACCCTTTATTTCTTTTTCTTGCCTGATTGCTGTGGCTAAAACTTCCAATGCTATATTGAATAGGAGTGGTGAGAGAGGGCATCCTTCTCTAGTGCTAGATTTCAAAGGGAATGCTTCTAGTTTTTACCCATTCAGTATGCTATTGGCTGTGGGTTTGTCATAAATACCAGAAGCTAAAGTACAATTTAAAAAAAAAAAAAAAGAAGAAGAAGAAGAGGCCTTTGAATTGCTGGAGAGACTACAACAGAAGCAGGGAGCCCTGTGAGGAGCTCTTCCCGGTGTCCTGACAAGAAATGGACTGAAATGACAGTAGTGGGCTTAGGGATCAGTACCTAGTCTCAATAAATCATTTACATGTGGAACTTGCTAACAGAGTAGATGTGTGAAATCACTGATGTTAGGGCATTTGGCTGAAGTAGAATATTATTTAATGAGACAAGGAACAGTTTGGGTGCAAGGCAGAGAGTTACAGATAGATAATGGTAAGACTGAAATCTAGTGATGGTAAAGCAGGAAACAAATCTACTCTTTATGAAGTCCCAGGGAGCAGAGCGGGAGGGGAGTGGAAACTAAGTGAGAAGCATGTTAAGCAGAGTAGAGTATGCAAGAGAAAAAACAGAGAATCGGAGAGAGGAAGACTTTGAACAATATGAGTGAAATTTGAATACCGGGGGAAGAAGAGGGAGAAGTGAAGAATGAGACTGTTTTTCGATTGAGAAATAGGGTCATCAAGTGTATCTATTTACTAAAATAAAGAGAATGAATACTATGGAAGAACAGTTGCAGCCGAAAAGGGGGTTAATGCATTTTTTTTTCAGTTGCCATGAGCTCTCAGCCTGATGGTGAAACAAAATTGATTTGGAGATTTGGTCACCATCCTTATGTAGAAGGTGTTGGAGGTCATGTGAATAGATAAAGATTGATATCAAATTTTTGATCAATGGCAGACGAAGAATAGGTGGTGAAAAACTTAAGCAATAAATGTGGGTAATTCTTTTAAGAAATTTGCCTATAAGGAGAAGAAGACAGAGAAAGAACAAAAGCCGAAGATCAGAGTTGTGTAAAAGAATTTTTAAAAATATAAGACCGGGAAGACTTAAACAGTCTAAATATTTTAAATATATTGTTAAGAAGGTTAAGAGAAAAGAAAGAAATATGGGAGAAAGAGGAGATAATCAGTAAAGCAAGTTCACTGAAAGGATGTCAGTGAATGCAATTTAGAGAATAGTGAGTGACAGTGATATAAACTTAATTAGATGTGAGCTTTTCTATAATTTTTAATTTTAAAATTTCAACACAGTATATTTAATAGCAATACACAGAAAGTATTTATATACTTCTTATACCACATTTTCCCTAATACTGTTCTCAGAAAGATTCTTAGAGAAGAAGAAGAAGAATTGTTAGGATATGTTGGAACTTTCTCTTTTCACTTTTCATTTATGTTGATACGTAATAGATGTATATATTTGGGGTTAATATGATAATACATCATACAATTTGCAAAGATCAAATCAATGTAATTGGGATTTTCATCATCTTAAATGTTTATTTTTTATGCTAGAAAGATCAGAATTGTTCTCTTCTATTTTGAAATGTTCTATAGATTTTTATAAACTATAGAGATCCTACTGGTCTATTAAGCCCTGGGTTTTATTTCTTCTATCAAACTGTATATTCATAATATTTGTACAATAATTGACCTCATTTCATTTCTTCTTATTTTTAAACTCATTTTATATTAATTGTTGAATTTATTATCCTCTAAAAATGTTTATGAGTTGAAATTCTTATCCTTATTTTCTAGATTAAAAATTTGATATTTGGAGAAATTAAATATTTTTTTTCAAGTCACGCAGCTAGTAAATAACAAACTAATATCAAATTCTGACATATTGTTCCAAAAACCCCTTATCTTCCACTATGTTATATTCTCTGAATGATACTCTCAGAGAAGCCATCTATTCATGTCAAGTAATTTGCAGAGAGAACAAACATTGTTCTCATTCCCATGTTAGCTGGTAATTGATGTCTGAAATCCTTTATCAGGTAAATCACAATTTTTTTTAAAGATGTGGGCCTCGCTATATTGCCCAGTCTGATTAGGTTTTTAACCTCTTGAAGGCAGGATATATTTGCTATAACCTGATATCATTATAAAATTATAAGACACGGAATCTCCTGCCTAATAGTTCGTCAATTTAACGTATACTGAAATAATTACTTCTTAAAAATGCTTCATATGCAAATGTGCAAAAGGTAGCATATAGGCTTAAATGACCAACTAATCAACAATGCCTATCTGACCCTTTCCCAAGGGTAGAGGTAAGAAAGAATCGCAGAAGGTTGATGGTTGTGATATTGAAGCCCCTTACAGAAGGAGAAAGCCTGGAGAACCTGAGACATCATGAAGAAACTTAGTTTCATTTCCACCTTTCAAATAGACCCTGATTAAAAAATTAGCTAAAGACTAGACATAAAATATAGCTGGCAGCTGGTCATCATCACTGCAAAATAAACTTCTTTGGAAAAACACATGCTGAAACACAATTAATAACTTTGTATTTAGGAGCAAATTACCGTCACTAGGATCAGTAATTTTTACCATGTGAAGTACTAAGGATACTGAGTTTTACCCCCACTCCAGACAGAAGGGATGTTATTAAAATAATAAATTTGCCTATTATTGTTCTTATCTATATGAGGGTCTATCAGTGAGGTGTTTAGAATTGAAAACAATGCTTATAATACTAAAGTTTCTCCTTGGTCTTCAGTAGCCACTTCTACTTATTTCAGTGGACAATTGGTAAGGAGGTGCCGTTCTTCAACTCGAATTGTAAGCTCACAGAAAAAGCACAAAGGCAAGGCGTTTCCACTTTTTGAATAAACTTTCTCTAGGATGTATATAGGTGTTGTTTTAAAATGCTACATATTTTCATCTCTTTTGTATGCCTAGTTCTTTGTCATTTTTAGGGTTAACATAAGGAAGTCTATAAAAAGAACTCACTGGGTACTAGGAGCACTCATATATTAGACTTCTCTAGAGTGACAGAACTAATAGGATAAACATATATATATGTGTATATATGTATATGTATATATGTACATGTATATACATGTATACATATGTACATATATGTATATGTATACACATATATGTATACATATGTGTATATGTGTGAGTATATACATATGTGTGTGTGTGTGTGTGTATATATATATATATATATCTTCTGTATTACCTATATATATGGAGTTTATTAAGTAGTAACTTACACAATCACAAGGCCCCACAATAGGCCATCTGCAACCTGAAGAGCCAGAAAGCCAGTCTGAGTCCCAAAGCTGAAGAACTTGGAATCCCGTGTTCCAGGGCAAGAAGCATCCAGCATGGGAGAAAGATGTAGGCTGGGAGGCTAAGCCAGTCTAGCCTTTTCACATTTTTTTCTACCTGCTTTATATACTGGTCATGCTAGCAGCTGATTGGTGTCCACCCAGATTAAGGATGGGTCTGCCTCTCCTAGCCCACTGACTCAAATGGTAATCTCCTTTGGCAACACCCTAACAGATACACCCAGGATCTATACTTTACATCCTTTAATCCAATCAAGTTGAGAGTATTAACCATCACAACCCACATTTGAAAAGAAGTCAGTATTTTGAAAGGCAAAAAAGAGTGGGTGGAGACATAAGAATAAAAGAAATAGGGGGGTTGAATCAAAAAGAAGAAAAAAATTTAGAAGCAATTAGAAGTGATGAGAGGCAAGAATAGAGGAGGAAAAAAGAATCATATTGAAAATTGCAAGTAAATGGGAAAAAGAGAAAAAAATTAGTCTAAGAGATGGCTGTGAAATTTTGCCACCAATTGACTTAGTAGCACTACAGCACTTAGAAATGTTCAAATTGCTGTAAGGGCAAATGAGATGCATCTGAGTAAACAAAGTAAATTATTGAAAAGCTTGTCCTGTAATCCCAGCCCTTTGGGAGGATGAGGGGTCAAATCACAAGGTCAGGTGTTCAAGGCCAGCCTGACCAACATGGTGAAACCCCATCTCTACTAAAAATACAAAAATTAGCTAAGCCTGGTGGCACATGCCTGTAATCCCAGCTACTCAGGAGGCTGAGGCGGGAGAATCACTTGAACGCGGGAGGCAGAGGTTGCAGTGAACCGAGATCATGCCATTTCACTCCAGCCTTGGCAACAGAGTGAGACTCCATCTCAAAAACAAACAAACAAACAAATAAATAAATAAATAAAAGTTTGTGTAAGTTTGGCTTCTGTACGATTCTGCAGCTCTGCAGCTACTTTTTTTTTTGTCCTGTACACAGTGATGTTAACACTTCAGCAGTTACTTGCTGAAGTCTAGCTTCACTAGGCAAGATCATGACAGATGATGAAATAGAGAAAAATATTCACAAAGCAATTTATGTTGAAGAACACTTAGGCAGTTATATGTTGCAAAGAGGGAAAAAAAAAGATTAAAGACAAAGTAAAACTGAGTGGTAATGCTAAGCCAAATAATTTCATGTGATATATTGGAGACGTTGTTATATTTGGGTCCACACAGGTGTATGGAAGGTGACAACATGCCAGCCAAAGAAGAATGCTCAATGAGCACCATCCAACCAGAGCAAGGATGTGGCAGGCTCTGGGCAGAGACAGATGGAAGGCTCTGGCAAGCTCTTTATATTTTCTCACTCTGTGGATAAATACAGGCACTTACAGATACCATTGTAAATTTCAGTTGCTATTTCTAGGGAGCTCAATGTTGTGTGCAGTATTATGAGGAGAATGTTGGCTCTTGTGTGAGGATTTACCTCACTGCATTGTCATCCTCTAATGATACCCCCAGGAAGTACATCCCAGAGTTCAAGGAACAGAAGGATACACTAACCAAGTTGAGCTTTTCAAATAACACAGAGTAGTAAATCAATTAAAAACACACAGTGAAGGGTCAAGGGAAAATAATACAGGTACAATAACCCACTTAGGATAGAGTACAAGGAAGACAGAAAGAATATACTAACTGCGTCCTCAGATATGTTCTATCAGAGAGACACAGTTAGAAATACACCTGGCCAAGCTGTGGTTCATCGTTTAACCTGATGAGCAGCTGTAGATTTTATTTATGTCTCTTAGGAGACCACAGGTAGTGTCAGAAGGAGTTCACAAATGGTTGGCCAATTTAAGAACTCATAAATATTGTGTGCCTTTGTAAGCCTCACAAATTTGTTGTGTATCAGGAAAATCATATGCCTCAGGTATATGCAGTGTATTATGAATATTACATGCCACTTGATCTTTCTCTATGTTTGATGCATACCTGTTTTACTAATGTTATTTATTCCTAACCCATAATATAGTTTACTGATTTACTTAACATTTTCATGAATTCTATCTATGCCTCACAAGCTACTTGTTTCCACATCTAATTTTGTTTATCATCATTTGTCTCTTTTTCTGATTTTTTTTTTTGTATGTTAGGTTATGGGATACATGTGCAGATCATGCAGGATTGTTGCATAGGTATACACATGGCAAGGTGGTTTCCTTCTTCCCCCCAATCACCTATATTTGGCATTTTCCCCCATGTTACCCCTCCCCAACCTCCCCATCCCTGCTGTCCCTCCCTTAGCCACCCCCCCAACAAAAGACCCAATGTGTGATGCTCCCCTCCCTGTGTTCATGAGTTTTCATTGTTCAACACCTGCCTATGAATGAGAACATGGAGTATTTGGTTTTCTGTTCCTGTGTCAGTTTGCTGAGAATGATGGTTTCCAGATTCGTCCATGTCCCTACAAAGAACATAAACTCATCCTTTTTTATGGCTGCATAGTATTCCATGGTGTATATGTGCCACATTTCCTTTGTCCGGTCTATCATTGATGGGCATTTAGGTTGGATCCAGTTCTTTGCTATTGTAAACAGTGCCACAGTGAACATACATGTACATGTGTTTTTATAACAGAATAATTTAGAATCCTTTGGGTATTTACCCAGTAATGTGATTGCTGGGTCAAATGGAATTTCTATTTCTAGATCCTTGAGGAATTGCCACACTGTCTTTCACAATGGTTGAACTAATTTACACTCCCACCAACAGTGTAAAAGTGTTCCTATTTCTCCACATCCTCTCCAGCATCTGTTGTCTCCAGATTTTTTAATGATCGCCATTCTAACTGGCGTGAGATGGTATCTCAATGTAGTTTTGATTTGCATTTCTCTAATGACCAGTGATGATGAACATTTTTTCATATGTTTGTTGGCCTCATGTATGTCTTCTTTTGTAAAGTGTCTGTTCATATCCTTCACCCACTTTTGAATGGGCTTGTTTGTTTTTTTCTTGTAGATCTGCTGTACTTCTTTGTAGATTCTGCATATTAGGCCTTTGTCAGATGGGTAGATTGCAAACAATTTTTCCCATTCTGTTGGCTGCCGGTTCACTCTGATGATTGTTTCTTTTGCTGTGCAGAAACTCTTAAGTTTAATTAGATCCCATTTGTCTATTTTGGCTTTTGTCACTGTTGTTTTTGGTATTTTAGTCATGAAGTCCTTGCCTATGCCTATGTCCATGCCTATGTCCTGAATGCTTTTGCCTAGGTTTTTTTTTATAGGATTTTTACGGTGTTAGGTTTTATGTTTAAATCTTTAATCCATCTGGAGTTAATTTTAGTGTAGGGTGTAAGGAAGGGGTCCAGTTTTAGCTTTCTGCAGATGGCTAGCCAGTTTTCCCAACACCATTTATTAAAGAGGGAATCCTTTTCCCACTGCTTGTTTTTGTTTTTGTGAGGTTTGCTGAAGATCAGATGGTTGTAGATTTCTGACGTTTCGTCTAAGGCCTCTGTTCCGTTCCATTGGTCTATTTCTCTGTTTTGGTACCAGTACCATGCTGTTTTGCTTACAATAGCCTTGTAGTATAGTTTGAAGTCAGGTAGCATAATGCCTCCAGCTTTGTTCTTTTTTATTAGGATTGCCTTGGCTATGCAGGCTCTCTTTTGGTTCCATATTAAGTTTAAAATGTTTTTTTCCAGTTCTGTGAAGACTGTCAATGGTAGCTTGATGGGGATGTCATTGAATCAATACCATTTTCACAATATTGATTCTTACTAACTATGAGCATGGAATGTTTTTCCATCTGATTGTGTCCTCTCTTATTTCCTTGAGCAGTGGTTTGTAGTTCTCTTTAAAGAGGTCCTTCATGTCCTTTGTTAGTTGTATTCCTAGGTATTTTATTCTCTCTGCAGCAATTGTGAATGGGAGTTCACTCATGATTTGGCTCTCTGTTTGTCTGTTATTGGTGTATAGGAATGCTTGTGATTTCTGCACATTGATTTTGTATCCAGTGACTTTGCTGAAGTTGCTTATCAGCTTACGTACATTTTGGGCTGAGATGATGGGGTCTTCTAAATGTACAATCATGTTGTCTGCAAATAGAGACAATTTGAATTCCTTTTTTCCTAACAGAATACCCTGTATTACTTCTTATTACCTCATTGCTCTGGCTAGAACTTTCAATACTACATTGAATAGGAAGAGTGAGAGAGGACATCTTTGTCTTTTGTCATTAATAGCTTTTATTATTTTGAGATAGGTTCCATCAATGCCTAGTTTCTTGAGAGTTTTTAGCATAAAGTGCTGTTGGATTTTATCAAAGGCTTTCTCTGTATCTATTGAGACGATCATGTAGTTTCTGTCTTTGGTTCTGTTTATGTGATGGATTACATTTATAGATTTGCGTATGTTGAACCAACCTTGCATCCCCAGGATGAAGCCTATTTGATTGTGATGAATAAGTTTTTGATGTGCTGTTATATTCAGCTTGCCAGTATTTCACTGAAGATTTTTGTATTGATGTTCACTATGGATATTGGCCTGAAGATTTCTTTTTTAGTTGAATCTCTGCCAGGTTTTGGTATCAGGATGATGTTGGTCTCATAAAATGAGTTAGGGAGGATTCCCTCTTTTTGTATTGTTTGGAATAGTTTCAGAAGGAATGGTACCAGCTCCTCTTTGCACATCTGGTAGAATTCAGCTGTGAACCTGTCTGGACCTGGATTTTTTTTGGTTCATAGGCTATTAATTGCTGCCTCAACTTCAGATACTGTTATTTGTCTATTTAGGGATTCAACTTCTTCCTGGTTTAGTCTTGGGAGGGTATAAGTTTCCAGGAATTTATCCATTTCTTCCAGATTTGCTGGTTTATGTGCATAGAGTTGTTTGTAGTAATCTCTGATTGTGGTTTGTATTTCTGTGGCTTTGGTGGTGATATCCCCTTTATCATTTTTTATTGCATCTATTCGATTTTTCTCTCTTTTCCTTTTTATTAGTCTGGCTAGCAGACTGTCTATTTTGTTGATTTTTTCAAAAAACCAGCTCTTAGTTTCATTGATATTTTGGAGGGTATTTGTGTCTCTATCTCCTTCAGTTCTGCTCTGATCTTAGTTATTTCTTGTCTTCTGCTAGCTTTTGAGTGTTTTTGATCTTGCTTCTCTAGCTCTTTCAATTTTGACGATAGGGTTTTGATTTTAGATCTTACCTTTCTTCTCATGTGGGCATTTATTGCTATAAATTTCCCTCTAGAAACTGCTTTAAATATGTCCCAGAGATTCTGGTATGTTATGTCTTTGTTCTTATTGGTTTCAAAGAACATCTTTATTTCTGCCTTCATTTCATTGTTTATCCAGTCACCATTCAGGAGCAAGCTGTTCAGTTTCCATTTAGTTGTGTGGTTTTGAGTGAATTTCTTAATCTTGAGTTCTAATTTGATTGCACTGTGGTCTGATAGACTGTTTGTTATGATTTCCATTCTTTTGCATTTGCTGAGGAGTGATTTACTTCCAAGGTGGTCAATTTTAGAGTAAGTGCGATGTGGTGCTGAAAAGAATGCATATTCTGTGAATTTAGGATGGAGATTTAGGATTTAGGATGGAGAGTTCTGTAGATGTCTGTTAGGTCCACTTGGTCCAGATCTGCATTCAAGTCTTGGATATCCTTGTTGATTTTCTGTCTCGTTGATCTGTCCAATATTAACAGTGGAGTGTTAAAGTCTCCAACTATTATTGTGTGAGAGGTATTTTATAGCAGAATTGAATCATCTCAAATAATAAAAGAAATTTACATTACATTAAAAGTGAAAGAGGACTTTCTAAGGAGAAGGCAAATGTAAAAGCTGGAAGAACTGGGTGAGTGCTACTTGAGATGAGATTTTAATTTAATACAGTTGTAGTGAATGTTGGGAGATAATGAAAAAAGACAATACAGATAGTGATTCCAGGTCTGTTTTACAAGGTTGATGGTTAGTTCTTTCTTTCTTATTAGAAACATGAGTGTTTGCCACAACAGGAATGCCTGCTTCCCTGTTTCTACCTTAAAAGGTCCAGAGTGAAATAACTGTCTTCTGTCTTTAGGTCTAATTATCACCTCTCCCTTAAGCATTACCTCTCTTAGAAACAACCTCTTCACAGCGTGATGGTGATTGATAGAGAAGATATTCACTCCCCAGGATAGACTCTATTTTCTACCCAATGTCCCAGCAACACAATTACCACAAAGAAGGTAACTCTTTTCCCCATTCTGATTAAATGATACTTATATTAAGATGCATCTTAAAACTAAGTGAATATACAACAAAATTTCTATTCTTTAAAGCTATTTCTCCACTAGTGGGAGATGAATTTATATTTATGTTGTTTCCTGCAGCTGCCATTGTCACAGTCTCCATTTCTTATTCCCCATCATTTTCTATCTATTCATCTGCCACAAACCATTTTCCAATAAAGATACAGTGTTCCAGCAAATTAAAATACGTTTTACTAAGAAGGAACAAAGTCAATATAGATGTAATGGAGCCCATGTACACATAAATCAATTTGCTTTACAAAATAGATAATTATTTAAGTCTTAAAACATCTGCATTCATGCTATGACGACTGGCTAGCAATAAGCAGAGGAATGAAACTGGACCCCTGTCACTCACCCTATTACAAAAAATAAGATGGATTAAGGACTTAAATATAAGACCTCAAACTATAAAAATCCTAGAAGAAAACCTAGGAAACATTCTTCTGGGCATTGGCCTAGGCAAGGAATTTATGACTAAGACCTCAAAAGTAAAAGCAACAACAAAAAAAAAATTGATAATTGGAACTTAATTGAACTATAGAAATTTTGCACATCCATAATAAACTTTCAAAATTGTAAAACAGCCTACAAAATGGAAGAAAATATTTGCAAGCTGTGCATCCAAAAGAGGACTAATATCCAGAATCTATAAGCAACTTAACAAGAAAAAAGCAAATGACCCTATTAAAAAGTGGACAAAGAACATGAACAGACTTATCAAAAGAAGACATACATACACATAGCCAAGAACCATAATTTTAAAAATGCTCAACACCATTAATTGTCAGTGAAATGCAGACTAAAGCCACAATGAGATACCATCTCACACAGTCAGAATGTCTGTTATTAAAAAGTCATAAAATAACATATTGATGAGGATTCAGAAAAATGGGAATACTTATACACTGGTAGTAATGTAAATTAGTTCAGTCCTTATGGAGAGCAGGTTGGAGATTCCTCAAAGAACAACAAAATAAGACTACCATTCGGCCCAGCAATCCCACTACTGGGTATCTTCCAAAAGGAAAATAAAAAGATACCTGCATTCATTTGTATATCACAGCACCATTAACAATCCAAAACTCATGGGATCAACCTGAGTGTCCATCAGTGTGGACTGGAAAAAGAAAATGTGGTACATATACACAAGGGAATATTACAGAGCCATGAAAATGAATGAAATGCAACATTGATGCAGCTGCAGGTCATTATCCTAAGTGAATTAACACAAGCAGAAAATCAAATGCCACATGTTCTCACTTATAAGTGGAAGCTAAACAATGAGTACACACACGTAAGGATGGAAACAGTAGACACTGGAGACTCCAAGGAAGAGAAGAGTAGGAGCAAGGGTTGAATAACTACCTGTTGGGTACTGTGTTTGCTATTTGGGTGATGGGTTTGATAGAATCCCAGATATCAGCATTACATATTATATCCACTTAACAAACCTGTGCATGTACCCCTGAATCCATAAATAAAGTAAAATTTTAATCCTAAAAAAATACTAGATTCAGACTACAAAATGATATGGTAATGTGACAATGTAAATGTAAAACGAAAGTGTTCTGCTACTTCACAAAATCACATTTTAATTTAAATGTGAATTGAATTCTCCACCATGAGCAAAGTCATAAAAAAACTCAGGAAGATAATGATTTCACAACTCTTATTTCTTAAACCGTGTTTGGTATTGCTGCCTGGAGCTGCCACCTCTCTTCTTGCACAGATCCTTGAGATCTTAAGTTCTCCTTGAGCCAAGATGTAGCTCATTTACTTTGTTGCTGAAGTTTTGCTGCTTGTATAGAATATTACATATTATGCTTTTCTAACAGTGGAAACTGGGCGGAAGGACTATTTGGAGTTTCAGACCTGGCAAAGCAAGATTTTAAGGATAAACTAAGACTTGCAGAGTATTTGTTTTTTAATAATAACTATGATTTATTAGACAGCTACTCTAAGTGCTAGGCATTGCCTCAAGCTCTTTAAATGTATAATATCTGTTACAAGAAGTATTATTACTGGTTTTATTCAAACAAAGAATCTGAGGCTTGGAAAAGATATGGTACTGTCTGGAGTCATTCAGTAGGCATCAAGATTTAAACTCAGGTTTATCTGATTAAAATATAGTTTTTTTTTTCTGCAGGATCATTATGCATCAATAGGCAGAAGAGAGTCTTTGGATGTTTTGGAACATAAAAATGGAATAATCAGAAAGGTGCTTCAGTTAGCTATGTGCGGTGACTCTGAGGGACAGTATTTAGAATAGGGCTCCTGTTAAGAGGAAATGGCAAAAATAACAGAAGTTCGAACAAAGCTTATAATGGTGGACTAGGAAAGTAAGTGGAGTGTAGTAAAAGCAATTCTGTAAAAAAATGCATGAAAAGGTTTTATCCTCCTGTGTATCCTCTGAACCTAGCACAGTGCCTGTCTGTAGGGGTTCAACATTTACTCACTGAACAAAAGGGAATCCCTGGATGAGCTATGTGTTACCTAGGAAAAGCAGCAGGTACTCTCAAACAAGGTACAAATGTGATCACTTTTTAAAACAGAGACCTAACTGAAATCAATTGGAAAGGAAAGGATGACAGGCATTCAGAGATGAAGGCGTTTCAAATAATGACTGTGGCTATAATACAGAGGACAGTTTTATAAATGTGAGAAACAAATGGAAAATGAATGATTACTACATAGCCATCTTTTTCCATTAGCACAAACATAGCCCGAAGTATCTTATTCAACTACTCATTTAACATCCAACTACTCATATTACACAATAATCAAAACAAAAGGAGTATTTTATAGTTTATAAGGCACATTCATGAGAGGTTCTTCGTCTACAAATTGAGAAAATTTTTAAAGATAAGTAGAGCAGATGAAGAAGGCAATTTAATTGCTATTTTATAGATGAAATATAGGAGGATGAATGATAATTTTAAAACACAGCTGGCTAACAGGCAGTACCAGAACTTATTATTTTTTATAATCTATACTATTACATCAGCAGTCATACATTTGTACAATAAAATTCACAAATTTGAAGAGTCCAATTTGGTGAGTTTTGACAAATATATTGTGACAGTGTAACCATAACCACAAATAAATCAGAATATTTTCATTACCCTGAAAAGTTCCCTTAAGTCCATGTATGATCAATCTGCTGCACCCATTCTTATGATGGCAGTGGCTGCTCCAAAGAGATTGTTACTGCCATCATGCTGGCTACAGCATGGAGGCACAGCTGAGGCAGCATACTCCATCTAGCCAGTGGGAGCCCTGCCCCTTCCATTTTGAGGTGGGAGCTCCCTAGGTGCAGTTGCAGCTGCCCAAATCACAGCTGCAGACCCAGGCCTCCCACTCCACAGAGTAGGTAGCAGCCCCACTCCCAAACTACAGCTGTAAATCAGAGCCTCCCTGTGATCTGGGCTGGGAACAGGCAGAGCCTTGCCCTCCCAGGCACAGCTGCAACCCCCCAAACTGGGCTGTAGACTCAGGCATTTCTGCATTTTTGGGGGCCCAGAAAGGCCCCCCCCTGCCCTTGCAGGCTCAGGGGTGCCTGCCCCCACCCCCACTGCCTGGTTTCTCCCTGCTATCAGCACCTGCTCTGATATTGGAACAAAATTGGGGCTGAGCCCAGGGGCCATAAATGAAAGCAGGAGGCAGACAGATGGCAGAAAGTGGCAGTTCCCTGGTAAGGCCCCATCTTAAGGCCAGCAAGAGCCTGAAGGCTGGAGGCTGAGCTGCCAGTCCCGTGGACTGGAGTAGGGCACTGTGGTCCCTTTTCTGGGCCACCCATGGACCAAATGGCACACACTTCCTCTCCTCTCAGGTCTATATGGGCCCCAGGCTTAGCCGTAGCAGGCAGAAGACAGGGAGGACAGAGGATGGAGAGATGAGGCAATACAAGGTCCAGAGAGAAGCAACATCACCAGGGCCTCCTCTCTGCTGAGAACAGCAGATGTCAGGATGACTGGTAGCAGAGAGGAGCTGCCTCTCCAGGGCTTCCTCTCTGCTGAGAGCTGAACACTCAATACATCGACCTGCCTACAGAGAGGAGGTACGCAGTCTGGGTCTCTTCTGAGCTGTTTTAACACTTAATAAAGCTCTTCTTCATTTTGTTCACATTTCACTTGTTTGCATACTAATTATAGTTTCATATATAGTAAACTGGCCAGGTGTGGTAGCTTGTCCTGTAATCCCAGCACTTAGGGAGACCAAGGTGGGTGGATCACTTGTGGTGTGGAGTTCAAGATCAGCCTGGCCAACATGGTGAAACCACATCTCTACTAAAAATACAAAAGTTTTCTAGGTGTGGTGGCACATGCCTGTAGTCCCAGCTACTTGGGAGGCTGAGGCACAAGAATTGCTTGAACCCAGGAGGCAGATGTGCAGTAGGCTGAGATCGCACCACTGTATTCAGCCTGGGCGACAGAGCAAGATTCCATCTAAAGTACAGTAAATGCTTCAGTTTTTGTTTTTACTATTTTATTTTAGGCAACTCTATGTCCTTCCCATTTTTCCGTAAATTTTAAAGTAAGATTGTTCATTTCTTCAAAAATATCTTGGCAGTTTTTATTTAATTTTCATAAATCCAGAGATTACTATTGTCTCTTACCAATGAATGTAGTACATACTTAGTTTATATTGTATTTGTCTCATATGGTTTGGTTGTATTCCCATCCAGATCTCATCTTGAATTCCCACTTGTTATGGGAAGAACCCGGTGGGAGGTAATTGAATCATGGGCATGGGGGTTCTTTCCCATGCTGTTCTCATGGGAGTGAAAAAGTCTTATGAAATCTGATGGTGTTAAAAATGGGAGTTTCCCTGCACAAGCTGTCTCTCTTTGCTTGCTGCCATCCATGTAAGATATGACTTGCTGCTCTTTGCCTTCTGCCATGATTGAGAGGCCTCCCTAGCCATGTGGAAATGTAAGTCCATTAAACTCTTTTTCCTGTATAAATTGCCCAGTCTGGGGTATGTCTTTTTCAGCAGCATGAAAATGGACTAATACAGTAAACTCATACCAGAAAAGTGGGGCGTTGCTGAAAAGATACCCAAAGTGTGGACATGACTTTGGAACTGGGTAACAAGCAGAGGTTAGAACAGTTTGAAGGATCAGAAGAAGACATGAAAATGTGAGAAAGTTTGGAACTTCCTAGACACTTGTTGAATAGCTTTGCCAAAAATGTTGATAGTATATAGACAATAACATTCAGGCTGAGGTGGTCTCATATAGGAAAGAGAAACTTGTTGGGAACTGGAGCAAAGGTGATTCTTGTTATGTTTAGCAAAGAAACTGTAAGCATTTTGGCCCTACCTAGAGATTTGTGGAACTTTGAACTTGAGAGAGATGATTTAGGATATCTGGTGGAAGAAATTTCTAAGAAGAAAAGCATTCAAGATTTGACTTGGGTGCTGTTAAAGGCATTCAGTTTTAAAAGAAAAACAGAGCATAAAAGTTTGGAAAATTTGCAGCAATGTGATAAAAAGGGAAATCCCATTTTCTGAGGAAAAATTTAAGCTGTCTGTGGAAATTTGCATAAGTAATGAGGAGCCGAATATTAATCACCAAGACAATGAGGAAAATGTCTCTAGGGAATATCCGAGACCTTTGTGGTAGCCCTTCCCATCACAGACCTGGAGGTTTAGAAGGAAAAATTGGTTTCATGGACTGGGCCTGGGGTCCCTCTGCTGTGTGCAGTTTAGAGACTTGGTGCCCTGCATCCCAGCTGCTCTAGCCATGACTAAAAGGGGTTCAGAGGGTGCACGCCCCAAGCCTTTGCAGCTTTCATGTGGTGTTGAGCCTGTGAGTAAACAGAAGTCAAGAATTGAGGTTTGGGAACCTCCATCTAGATTTCAGAGGAAGTATGGAAATCCCTGAATGTCCGGGCAGAAGTTTGCTGTAGGGGTGGGGTCCTCATGGAGGACATCTGCTAGGGCAGTGTAGAAGGGAAATGTGGGGTGGGAGGCCCCACACAAAGTCCCTACTGGGGCATTGGCTAGTGGCACTTTAAGAAGGCTATCATTCTCCAGACCCCTGAGTGGTAGATCCACTGACAGTTTGCACTCTGCACCTACGAAAGCCTCAGACACTCAATGCCAGCCCATGAAAACCATAGGGTGGGGAGCTGCCCAAGACCATGGGAACCCATGTCTTGCATCAGCATGACCTGGATGTGGGACATGAAGTCAAAGGATATTATTTTGGAGATTTAAGATTTGACTGCCCAAAGGCTGGGACAGTGGTTCATGCTTATAATCCCAGCAGTTTGGGAGACCAAGGTGGGCAGATCACTTGAGGTCAGAAATTTGAGATCAGATGGGCCAACATGATAAAACCCTGTCTCTACTAAAAATACAAAAATTAGCTGGGCATGATGGCAGGTCCCTGTAATCACAGCTACTTAGGAAGCTGAGGCAGGAGAATCACTTGAACCTGGGAGACGAGGATTCAGTAAGCCCAAACTGTGCCATTGCACTCCAGCCTATACTTTAGGTGATAGAGCAAGACTTCATCTCAAAAAAAAAAAAAATTTGACTGCCATGCTGGATTTTGGACTTGCATGGAGCCTGTAACCACTTTATTTTGGCCAATTCCTCCCGTTTGGAAAGGCTGTATTTACCCAATGCCAGTACACCCATTGTATCTAGGAAGTAACTAACTTGCTTTTCATTTTACAGGCTCATAGGCAAAAGGGACTTCCTTGTCTCAGATGAGACTTGGGACTGTGTATTTTTTAGTTAATGCTGACATAAGTTAAGACTTTGGGGGACTGTTGGGAAGGCATGATTGGTTTTGAAATGTGAGGACATGAGATTTGGGAGGGGCCAGGGGCAGAATAATATGCTTTGGCTGTGTCTCTACCCAAATCTCAACTTGAATTCCCATGTGTTGTGGGAGGAACCTGGTGGCAGGTAATTTAATTATGGGGTGGGTCTTTACAATGCTGTTCTTGTGATATCCAATAAATCTCATGTGATCTAATGGTTTTATAAGGGGGAGGTTCCCTGTACAAGTTCTCTATTTGCCTGCTGTCATCCATGTAAGATGTGCCTTTGCTCCTTCTTGCCTTCCACCATGATTATGAGGCTTCCCCAGTCACATGGAGCTGTAAGTCCATTAAACCCTTTTACCTGTATAAATTACCTAGTCTCGGGTATGTCTTTATTTTTCTTATTTATTTATTTATTTATTTATTATTTATTTTGAGACAGTGTTTCACTCTTGTAGCCCAGGCTGGAGAGCAATGACAATCTCAGCTCATTAGAACCTCTACCTCCCAGGCTCAAGTGATTCTCCTGCCTCTGCCACCCAAGTAGCTGGGACTACAGGAGCCCACTGTCATGCCTGGCTAAGTTTTGTATTTTTAGTAGAGATGGGGTTTCACCATGTTGGCCAGCATGGTCTTGAACTCCTGACCTCAGGTGATGCAGCCACTTTAGCCTCCCTAAGTGTTGGGATTATAGGCATGAGCCACCACTCCTGGCCTTAGGTATGTCTTTCACAGCAGCATGAAGATAGACTAATATGTAGTCTAAGTGAAATTTTATAGTTTTGCTGTACAGATCTTGAATATACTATTCAAAAATTATTCCTATGTTACGACTTTAATGAAAGTTTTCCTGTGTTATGGTTTTTATTCCTGTTATGATTTTAACAAAGCAGCTACAGGTCCCATGTAAGTCCAACATCCAACAAGGAAGTGAAATCTTAAAGCTCTAAAATGATATTCTTTGACTCCAAGTCTCATATCCAGGTCACGCTGATGCAAAAATTTCAGTTTCAAAATATTGATAGCTGGTATATAGGAATATAGTAAATTTTTAAAAAAATATCCATTGTATCCTACAGCTTTTCTAAGTTCATATATTAAATTTAGCAGTTAGTTTTGGTTTTATCATTTTAGTATCTTAAAAATAGACATTACTTTTTAAAGCAGTTTTAGGTATATTGAAAAAGTGTAGAAAAAGTAGTTTCCATTTACCCCTTTTCCCCCAATACATACACACAACTTCTTCTGGTATTGAAATCTTGCATTACTGCAGTACATTCATTTCCATTGTTGAACCAATACTGAAACATTGTCATTAACTCAATTCTATAGTTTACAGTACAATTTCTTTATGTTGTATAAATCTATGGATTTTTCACACATGACAGTATTATCATGCAGAATAGTTTCACTTTCCTAAAAATTCCCTGCTCCCCTATTGATTCTTCCTTCTCTGCCATCAGCCACTGGCAATCACCAATCTTTTTACTCTCTTTAGTTTTCCCTTTTCCAAAATGTCATATAATTGGAATCACGTGGTGTGTAGCCTTTTTAGATTGGTTTCTTTCACTTAGCAATATGCATTTAAGGTTTCTCTACGTCTTTCCATGGCTTTATACTTCATTTCCTTTTAGTGCTGTGTACATCCCTGTCTGGAAGTCTTACAGTTTATTCATCTATTCACCAAGGACTTCTTGGTTGCTTCCAAGTTTCGTAACTATGAATAAAGTTGCTATAAACATCCGTGTGCAGATTTTTATGTGGACATAAATTTCCAACACATTTTGATAAATACCAAGAAGCATGATTGCTGGATCACATAAAATTATGTTTAGCTTTGTCATAAACTGCCAAACTGTCTTCCACAGCAGCTGTACCATTTTGCATTCCCACCAGCAATGAGTGAGAGTTCCCACTGCCCCACATCTTTACCAGCATTTGGTGTTGTCTAGGTGCTATTGACTGAATTGTGCTCCCCTAAGATTCATGTGTTGAAGTCCTAACAACCAGTATTTCAGAATATGACTGTTTTTGGAGATAGGGCCTTTATAAAGTGTAATTAGAATAAAATGAGGTCATTTAGAGTGAGCTCTAATTCAATATGGTGTCCTTATAAGGATAGAAGATCAGAATACAGACACAGAGGGAATACTGTGAGAAGGCACAGGGAGAACATAAATATCTATAAACCACAGAGAGAAGCCTCAAAAGAAACTAACCCTGCTGACACCTTATCTTGGACATCTAGTCTTCAGAAGTATGAGAAAATACATGTCTGGTTTTTGAGTCATCCAGATAGTACAGTGGTTTTGAGCCATCTGGTTTTTGTTATAGCAGCCCTAGAAAACTAACACACAGGGTGTTTAGTTTTCACCATTATAATAGATGTTTAGTGGTAGCTCATTGTTGTTTTTATTTGCAATTCCATAATGATATATAATATTGAGTATATTTTCATATATTTATTTGCCATCTCTGTATCTTCTTTGGTGAGGTGTCTGTTCAGATCTTTTGTCTATTTTTTTAACTCAGTTACTTGTTTGTTGACTGTTGCATTTCAGGAGCTCCTTGTATATTTTGGATATATGTTCTTTATCAGATATATGCATATTTTCTCCCCAGTCTATGAATTTTCCATTAAAGCATGCTTTTCTGAGCATACTAGCCAGGGCACCTTGCATAATATGGTCTGTCTACTCTGGCTGGTAGGAATTCAACTTACTTCAGTCTTATTTGAGCTCCAATTAATTATCCAGTTTTCTGTTTTTTAGTGATTATTTCCTACTTCCTGTGAAATTTTATCCCACATATGTGCATCTCAGCATTCAGCCAAAGAATTGTTGGAATGAATGCCTCTGCAGAAAGCTAGAGCTCTGTCTTCCTGTGGAATGGCTCCCTCCTCTCAGGCGCACAGTCACACAAATTCTAGCTGCCACATTTACCTGGACTGCCATTTTTGTCTCTTCAACTCAGTGCAAACACTGTTCTTTGTTTGAGGTCTGTTTTCCCATATTGAAACCTAAAAACTGAACTTGCAGAGCTTCTTTTTCCTCCTTCACAGTTTACAGCACTGCATCGGGTGTTTTCCAACATTTGAAAATATTTCTTTTCACATATCTTGTCCATGTTTTTGATGTTTGTAGTGGTAATGAGATTCCATGTGACATTTCATAGGTCGTAGTGAAAATCCCATCTAGTCGTTTGGACATACTTTCAATGCTAAAGTAGCAACCTGTTTGTCAATGTCTTTATAGGTATACAATCTTTTATTTTGACCTCAGTTTTTGCACATTTTTAAAAATTGATATTACCTTGAGATAAGTTAAATAGCATCAATCCTCTTTTATACTTTTAGAAACATTTTAGAAATAAATAAAAAAGAGATAATATTCACTTCTTTCAGACTTTTACATAATTATAAATCTAAAAATAGTGTGTGTTTCACAAGGAAGAACCAAGATGTAATATTTTAGAGAGTCAGGCTTTGCCATACTGGTGCAGCCAGTACAAATTGTCTGTTAAATAATCATGAAAGGATGGAGGGAGAGAAGGAAGGAAGTAGAAGGAGGAGAGAGATGCCAGAGAAAGAGAGAGAGATTTAGAAAGACCAAAATGGTAAGAACAATATAATCCAAACATCACTAAAGAACATATAATAATGTATAAGGGAACATATACTATCTATACTATCTGCAATATTCATAGGAAATGAATGAGAAATGTTGTGGGGATTGAAAGAGAATCCATTAGATAACCATTTTCTTCATTTAATTTCAGAGCCAATTAATGAATATAAATAAAATAGAAGATATATGGAAATATAATTAAATTTTCATTATTAAGGAAGTGCCAAAGTAAGGCATTTCTTTTATTTGTAGGCAAATGGATTTCCTAATATAGAAACCAAAAATATACTTATTCTCCAATCATTGGTAGAACTGGACCACTGTGTGACGACCTGTCTTTACAAACAAATGGCTTAAAGGAGCAGAGCAGAAAGTGTGCTCTTTTCAGTACACCCTGGCTCCCATGAGTGATCAGACTCAAAGGAGCTTAGCTACACATGTAAGTTTCTCCTTATAAGTTCTCAGTCTACCTCTAGAGAAGAAGAAAGGCTGAAGAAAACACAATGCCTTTATGTTGATGACAATAATAGTACTGCCCAAAATAATAGAAATTTCAGAAGCATTTCTGAGAGATATTTCACCCTTTCTAAGTACAATATGAATTTGCTTTTTCTAATTGCAAGACTACCCCCATAATGTCAAACGATAACAGTGTTTGACCATGCATGTTTTTAACTGTGTCGAAGGAATAAGCTCGGAGTGTCTTCAGAGCAGGCTACATGGAATGAAATTGTTTAAAGAGGATAGGAAATGGTTTAAAGACTGTGAAAAGATGCCCACTTGGGAATTCGATTCATATTAATTCTGTAGATCACTGTGGAGAGACAGAACATAGAGACATTTATGATTGAGATGCCAATTAGCAGGCTATGGTAGCAATCTCAATTACCTATATGGAGGATGTGGTGGTGCATTTGAGACACAGGCAACTGGATTTGTAACTGTGAAGGTGCGAGGGACTTCTTTCATCTAGATTTTAATGAAATTGCTATGTTCCAAACCACGTCATAAATTCACTGAAAAGGTTAAATCCTGCCCACGGATATCACCTAAGTCTTTGTTTAAAATGAGTAAAAAGGAGTCTTACCACTCCTTGACCACTCCTTGCCCTATACTGCCTATTTGTTCATTATTCAACTTCTGTTTCATATAATTCTGCACAATCTCTATAGCATTAATATTTAATCCTGAATATAATGCAACACATGTCAGTCATTGAAAATAATACCATGACCCTAGTACACTATATTTGGGACAATTATGACCTTCAAGCAAACAAAACAGGACTTTAGCATCATTATTCTATCTTTGTTGTTTAAATTATATTAAAATAATGTGCATTTACTTTCCTAGGACACCCCATAGACCTATTTTCATAAGAACACATAGTTAAGTCCCTTCTGGTTATGTGAAAAATTCCTTAGTCATTGTCAGAGAAAGAATTCACCAAGAAATCACAAAACTAACAGACTATTTATCACTTCAGAGAGAAAATATCACCTCATTAGTTTGAATGGAGAGCAGTGTAGGAGGTACAGTTATGAAAGTCTTCTATTTATCATAGTTCACTCCAATTCTGACTGCATATACCCATGCAAGTTTCTAATCTTAGTTGGCCTTTGTTTGTTTTTTTGGGGAAAAAAATGTAGAGAATTGGTGAGGAATAGGATTGTTAGAGTCTGTATAAGAAAAAGTCTCAAGAGAAGAGAAGAAAATTTCATATTATCTAAAGAAAGCTTTGTGACTTTGGAGGATTGTTTGATGATTATACATTTAGAAAGAAGAAAAAAAAGGAGAAGGTGCTCACACATAAACACAAATTTAAGAGTTGCATGAAACTGTAACAGTGCCAAGAAGGCTAATAAAAAATAATCTGAGCCTTGGAAAATATGACAGGAACAATAAAAAGAACACTTTTACTAGGTTCAAAAACAGGAAGAGGAACAAGGAAGAGAGAGTTCCATTCCTCGCAACAGATGGTATAATGTTAACAGAACAACTTAACTGCTGTTTTGCTTTTGTCGTGTTTATGCATGGAGTTTGTCTCACTGCAACTGTTATAGGAAGATAAGATGCTGTTTAAGTCCCAGTGTAGCTGAGGAAATAATGAGAGAGCTCTCAATGCCAGCACTTCCACCTCAGAGATCTCCAGGCCAAATACCCAAGTACAGAAGGAAAGAATGGTTAGAAACCAGTTTGGCAATTGCTGAAAACCATGAAGAATGAGAAAGGTGACAGGATCCAGGGAAATAATTCAGTTTTTCAAAAAAGGTAAAACACATGTGTGAGAATTTGAT